GTGTAACTGGTTGTAGTGCTGCATGTATGCAGTTTCAGCGAGGCATTCGACTGTAGATCACCAAATTCTGCACATTCGCTGCTGCAGTTGCTCTCAACAAGAACGTCCGTTGAGCGAAATGTTTCACGATAATTTCTTAGCAAAATTCTCGTACTTTAGGGTTTTTTTTGCAGAGACTGGAGGCTTTTATTCCAAATAAAAATGCAGTAGCGATGCGAAACGAAAAGCAGATTACGAAATACAGAGACTCAGATCGAAAGGAGCAAGCTAGCGCAAACTAACTACGAGTAATTTCATTTCGGCCAAAAAGTGTCTACTGTTGCTCAACACCTGATAGGCTAATACGCACGGAGGATACCGCAAAACGTGAGCAGATAGTGCAGGTGTTTCTACCGTTCACCTTTTAATCCAGGCTGCCCACTCCTGTAGTTGCACGAGGAAGTGCAGGGACATGCGCGACAACTTCTCCAACCGCAAACCTCCCAATCCGTACACGCATCACTTCGCCCCGTTGTAATGCGCCGACGGATGCGGTCCGGCCAACTGCAGTACGCCCAGCATCTGCAAAACGAATCGGCACTGTAGCGACTTTCAAGTTGTAACAGAAATCGGATGCAGAACAGGCAAATCTACCTTGCAGAAAACTCTTTTCACTTCTTCCTCGTATCTCGGGTTCCCACCCACTTTCAACCGCTGAAGCAGGTTTGGCAGCTGCTGCAGTTTCTCCTCACTGGGTAGCGACAGTGACGCCTCCATCGCCTTTAACAATGCGCCGTGGAAAGCACCACCAAGCGACAACCGAACGTTGGCGAAGTTGACTGACAGAAAAGCTTCATAACCATAGTAAGAAGTCCAGTTCAAAGAGACATTCCCGTTAACGATGTGGAGGGTCTCGCATGACAGATTGTGGCCGACGGCGAGCGAATCCTTCAGCCAATAAAAAATTAAAATCCGGCTTGGGCCGACCTCTGGGAACTCTTCCGCGGCGCCGTGTATCAACAAGCGAAGTTCGGCCTTAAGCAGATGCAGGGAACGCAGTCGGATGCCGGGATGTTGGTCCGCCACGTACTGGATCATGTCGCACACCAGCATCGCATAATCCATGCCCTTCAGCTTCTCTGACAAACGCTTAACGAGAACACGCTGCGTGGCGGGGCGTAGGCAGTGGTGCAGCGTCGCCCAGCCGAGGAAAGCGTCCGTTCCGCATGTGGCGGTTCGGATGACGATCAGGGCTCGCAACGCAGGTGAATCTATCATCTGATTCCAGGTAGAGCAGACCGCACGGAGCTTCGTCTGTTCCACAGTGTCCAAGTGGGAGAAGGCTTCCTGCCAAAATTCCGTCGGCAGCGCCACCAGCCCCACCAGCGCCATCTCGTAGTCGGTGGCGAAAGTCTTGTTAGGAAGCCTCCGGGCCGCGCGGATAAAATCCCAATGGGAGATGTCACCTTCACTCTGAAAAAACACAGTCACCCACGGTAGTGGAACATCGCCGATACAAATGAGCGCTTCGGTTTAATAACCAGTTCACCACCGAACTGGGAAAATTGCTAATTGGAGCGATAAAGCGACCTCTGTTATTCTGACACCTGAAAACCAGCGCTCTCTTACCGACGCGTCTTTGGATTCTTCAACCTCGTAAATGTATCGCAACTTCCCGTTCACGATATCCACCGCGACGGCGAAGGGGAAGCGGGGAATCCGTTCGTCTCTATTTAGCCGTGTGATGAGCACCGCGGCTTCTTCCGCAGGCAGTGAGCGAAATTCTTCGCCCATGTCCACAATGCCCTGCTTTAACACGCCGGCGTGACGGAATCAGAGTTGTGGCAGTCTTGGCGATATCCGCGAACGCGGTCGATAGGGACGATGTCGGTATGCGGCATTCCCGTGTCGGGATTGCGCCAGCGGACAATGGCTGCGTTGAAATATTCAGTTGTAAGACCGCGTCCGATTTGAAGCAATTCAGCTGTCTGCCACACCCAGGGACCCGCTGGCGTCTCCGGCACCAGAACCTTCCCCGGGACGATGGAGCGGTGCGGAACATTGCGGAGCGGCGTGGACCAGCAAGGACTCATTGGAATCTCTGGATTTGCGAAGTAGACGCGGTCGAATGGCGCGTATTTACGGCGCCGATGGGGACAGTGCATGTCGATGAAGAGACCATCCTTCGTTACGCCCACGACGTGGCCGCAACGCGTCCGCTGGTCACTTCCCCACACGAATAGCGCGTTGAACCTGGACATTCCGTTGGGGCATGGTAGACGATGCTTTATCGTGAAATGGAATACACTGAAGTTGGCTACAACGGATTACACTTCACCGAATTCTGAATTGTAATCTTTCAAACCGGTAACGCACGAGTCGGAATATCAATGTTATGCTACCAAAAAAAGAATCAGCACGCTATGCCTATGGTGTAATTCATCGATCAAGTAAAAATAGCGGTTGAAAATGAGCCGCCAAACTGATATGTGAGCACGAAGCGGCTGGCTACGATCGTTAAATACAGTACTTAAATGCAGAAACAGTGTATGAGTGCAAATGTGTATCCGTAATTAAAACGTACTATTCTACTTGCACTGTACCATTGTTTCAGAAGAAAATGGTGAAAAGCACTTTTTAAAGTGGAACCAGATTACTGATACCACTCTGATTGGTCCGTGGAACGTCGTTCCAAGTGCAACCGCTGAAAAGGACCGTACCGGTGCAACCGCACAAATCAAGTTGTTGTGCGAGCAGAGAAGCAAATTTATATCGAATGTACAGGCAAATACCACTTGTATTAAAGCAAATGCGCATGCAGGTTCTGAACGGACTGTGCGGAGCTGCGATTTACGATCACAGATCGCAGGTGGTGGTATCGTAACCCGTCATTATCGATTATCTGAGCACAATTTGTACAGAAAACCAATATCCTGAACGCTTCGTTATTTCTCATCTGTTTTTCTTCGTAACAGTTGCGCTTCTACCGTGTGCGCATTTCAGAGGTTTTGACGGAGACTGCCCAGTGCGCACTGTATTCCGTTACGCCCCTCATTTCCCACGGAACTCCATTTTATCTTTCGAGTGCCCAAGCGGATCCAACGTACGCCGCGGAATGCACCGCGCCAACGGAATTCCGCGCCCCGACGTTCTTCCTATTCACCGCCCTCACCGCGAGCCGGATCGCGATGAGAACGCCTCCCTCCGCGAATCCGTCAGTCCCGGGACCTTTATCCTGCTCAGTGTGGATCTTGGCCTAGAATTCCACTCGCTGTCCACAAAAGACACCCGGGCCCTCATTCAGCGACTGAATGCCGCCCCGCTGCATTCCGACTGCGGTGATTTCTCCGTGGTCGGTCTCGCGGAAGGGATGCATTTGCAAGCTGGCTGCGACAGAAGAACTGGATTGGTCGGAAAGCCATTTTTCTGTAAGACAAGTCCTTCCTTTATTCTTTCAATGCTCCGCTCATTATGGGTGCTTCTGCTGCAGGGATACGTTGCTTATTTACGAAATGAGGTGTTACGCATAATCAAGTGTCTGCCTAACCACGTTCCGGCAACTGCTGACGGCACGGCGATGGGGCTGCCGGCAGAGTTGATGCAGGAGGTCTTTTCCCACCTGGACGCTTTAAAGCAGACGCAGCTTTGGAATGTGTGCGCCCGGTGGAGCCGGATCATGGAGGCGCCTACGCTGCGTTCCACTCTCGTCATTCGAATGCAAAACAACGGAATTACCGAAGGAGTCTTCGGCTTGCTGACGGTGCTCCATTGCCTACGTTCCACAACACAACGCCTGATCCTAACATCTTCCGAGAACGGGATGTGCGACACCGAGTTCGTCATGATTTTGTTCGACAAAGTCCTTCAGCTGGCCGCACATCACGCCGGCATCCGACTGCGCGCCATTCATCTGCACCGCGTCCGCCTCAGTTTACTGATCAGTCGCGCTGTAACTGGCAATGATAACGCCTGCGGTCAACACCAGTCCTTTCCTGTATACAACAATCCGGAATGGGGCTACTATCGGATGCAGGATTTCGTATCCGTGTGTCGCCGTCTCCCCTGCGATACACTTCACATCGGACCGAACACGGTTGCGGCGTTGGCCTGTGACTTTTACACTGATCCGTTGCGAATCTATCGAAAGAAAGCGGAAATCGACATCCACAGAACGCGCCTGCCGCTGGATGGCGGTTTCGGCTGCGCGTTGTGGGAAGCGATGGAGGCCGCACTGCCGGTACCGAGCGATTAGGACGTGCACGAATTGTTCCAGCGCTTCAAAGTGGGCGGGGATCTGCGTCACGAAGAAAAGCGGGAGGCACTCCTCTGCACGGTACTGTTGACAGTTTATCCTTCGTTCTGCTCAGACTGGAAAAATTCGTATTGCAGGCGTTGTGTTCGCTGCAGTCGGCCGATCCGCGTCCGTCGTCGTATTACCGCGGGAAGATGTGCTGTGTGGACGGTTTGGAAGAGGTGCAGGTGAAGAAGTTGTCGCGCATCAGTCGGCACTTGCTGATTAAACTGCGAGAGCTGCTGGTGGAACGGCAATGGATTACTTTTGAAGGGTCTGCACAGCGCTGTTCCGTGGAAGATTTGCCTTTTCGCCGCTAATCTGGATGTGCGTAAAGATTTGTCGCCACCTGGCGTCTCTATCGCTTTATTTAAATTGCAGGAATTTAGTCGTTCGGAATTTAGTTTGGAACCTACTTCTTAGAGTGTATAACTTGCGGAAATTTAGTTGCTTTTTTAGCCTGCTGCCTGGGAAACTGACTCATTATCATTTTTCCCCTTCATCTATTCATTTAGCTTCTTATGTTTCGCACCGTTACTAGATCCTTATTTGGCTGTGATTTGTGAAAGAACACTCGGTATAGCTTGTGCAGCGGTTTTATTCTACACTGAGTTTTATGGAACAGGTTCCGAAAAACTAATACTAAGTGCTTCCCTTATCAATTGAATGGATACAAAGTAAATCATTACGGGGTAGGCGCGTATTCATTATTCCACAGAAGCATTCATGCTAAAGAAGTACCGGTTTAGTGTGTTACCGCGTGTTTGCATTTTCTTGTAACCATTCAGCAAATTTAGTGAAAGTAGGGCATAAAATTCGATTATGCTGCGGTTATTGATCTTGTACAGGATACGTATCAATGCCCTTGCCCGTATCGTAAACTCGATGACGCTGTTGTAATTGCCCTTGTACGTGCTAAAAATAACGCTCGAAGTAAATTTAACAAACGGGTAATAGAGCGAAAGGTCACAGGAAATCCTCGATAGCCGCAGGTATTCTGATGGTCACTCGTTTATTCGCGAGTACGGGATCGTTGTCGCGCCATAGTTTAAGAGCGTTTCGTGATTGGTATTCACGGGCAGGGGAGCATTGGACACCGCCGCACTAGATGCCCCGTGGCTGTCATCTAGCGCTAAACTTTTAGTTTTGTCCGTATCCTTAGGATTTGAATCAGGATATACTGAAAATATAATCGCGGCTGTTTTGTTAAACAACGATAATATTACAAAAGACCACTTTAGGAGCGTTTCCAGTACAGACCTAGTTCGTTCCATGCGCGACCGTTTCGGAACGCGATTTTTGCTGTGCGGAACAAAAACCATGTTGTGATACCGCGAGCGAAAATAGCCGCACCTCCAATAATGAAGACGGCTGTATGCAACGAAAGCGTACTGAGATATCCAGTGTCATTCTTGAGAGCGTCACTCTTTAGAGTCATGATTGAATCGTAGAATTGATAGGAAATATAAAACACCTCCGCCATTACGCTGCCGGATGCTACGCCAGCCAGGTATTTATCCTGCCGCTTCAGCTGAAAATCATCAACAACATATAACACAGAATTATAATGGTCCTGAGTAATGGCTGCTCTATTTAAATTTGATTGCTGAATTAATAGACGTACGCTTGTGGTTACGGCGCAGACCCAGATAAGGATGAAAAAAGCGCGAAACGCCACAGTCACCTTCTCCAAAGTAGCTAAATGAAATTCCTCAGCATGGAACAAAATAAGTACCAAAAAGGACACCTACAAACATGAACTCCCAATGTATTTGTGTAGATTGTATTTAGCATTTTTTGGGTTGCAGGGGTAATACCTGAAACTGCACGCTGAAGGTGCGCAGAGATCGTGTCAGCAAAATCAGCTTACAATCGTCCATGATTTTTTGTGTTTCCTCACTTTCCTGTCCTCGTTTCCCATCATGTATTTCGCCCTGTCCCTGTTCTCCATCGTGCTGCTCGCCCTGTTCTTGCTCTCTATCGTGCCTCTCGCTGACGGATGCTTGATCATTGTCCGCTGCTGCAAGCAGCGGCTCCGTTGCGCTGCCACTAAGACAATAATAATATGCGGTACTACACAATAAGACAATATTAATAAATGTAGTAAATCTGCTTAAATATTAATACAGTACCAGCAATGCATAAGTTCTATTTGCTTAAGCAGTAGCTATACATAAGCGGTACACGATATGTCACAACAACCGAGCTCTCTTGCTTAGTTTACAACAACCAGTCACCGTGATCATTCTGTTCTTCGTCCCTCTCTTTTATCAGTTAAGGAACAGGGTACAACCGCAAAATGGTTCAGGTGAAAATCTGGATTCACTTCCTTTTTTATATGCTATTGCGACTGACAAGTGATGTCAGCAGTTAATAGCGTACGTAAAACTCCACATCGGGACTGAAATTTGAAACATAAGTACGAGTGACCGGTTGTTGAGAAATGCCGAAGTATACATTTTATCAGTGGTTTGACCGAGAATAATTCGACCCTTCTTTATGTTGTAATGCGCCACAAGACAACCAATTAAGGCGGTAATGACTGTCATTCCCAGGAACACTAAACGGGCCTGTAGGAAAAACGCAAATTTTATTGCTTTATTCTTTAAATTGCCTTGGATAACAGACCAGCGACGACTTACTATTTTAATCTTAAAGATATGATGGTGTACCACATTAGCCGGATGGGTCTCCTGCATAAGGATATAGAAATCGGCCCCACTATACAGTGAACGAAGCACTGTGTTCCACGCAAACACGTACAGCTCGTACCATCGTCCCCTGAATGACACAAGTAAGTATCTGTGATATACTGCAATTGACAGTTGATGTGAACCGCAACAATGTACGTACTTATTACAAATATTTGAATAACTGCAGTCAAGAAAACGAACCCTAATAAGGCTTCCACTTTAAGCTAAGCGTAGTCAGTAGAGACGATAATAAAGTGTAAATAAGCAGATAAATTTAGGTGATTTATATAAGCACTGTAGCGATCTGTAGCGATCTTTACTGTTGATGGTGAGAAAATAGCATTAGCAAAATACTGTAGATATTGTTTTACTAGCCGTGCGTTCTATTTACGGGCAGTGCACACTTGCAAGCTTTGCGAGTGTCATCTCATTTAACAACTGTGTGGTCTAACTTGCGAAAATTGCCCCGCTACCGGTTTTTTCATTAGGTTTTGTTCGGAGAATCCCGCAAAAAGCCAGGGAATTCCTCTGTTGGGGCGCTTACCAGAATAGTCCATGCCAAACGTAGAAGAGCGAGAACAGACAATGAATAATGATCAGCAAACGAAACGTGAACTCCGCTGCACATTGCTTATCCATATTATCCAGATAATCGGTCGTTATATTGGCAACTAGGTTGCTGATACTTATATTGTCCCGGCAGTGTGAAGCAGCGACATGTTCGAATCGCTACAAAAGTTCTCGTACCGCAACCATGCCGAACATCATTACCCAGAATAAAATTTCCTTGAATGTGTAATGAAAATGAATCAGTATATTATTCGTACGTACCTCACTAGTTAAGATTATGCTGATAGCAAGGAACAACGAAGCCGAAAACAATATGCCAAACTCCCATGGTGAAAAACTAGAGCATTTTCGTACCTGTGGCAAAGGATACGAGGGAATTAAGAAACACAAGTCGTAAAATTATTATTTTAATTATTTTACTTACAAAACCCAACATTTTGCAGTCTACCACATCATTTTTGGGTGACCGGCGATGGGATGGCGTTCCTGAGATGTTGTTTTCTACCGACGTAGCACTTTCGCGATTGGACATCATGTTCGAGCAGCGCTAGCTAGCTGCATACTTCGTCTGCTTTCGCTACTATTACAGTAAATGCTACCAAGCGCCGGGTATGTTGTCCTTATGAAGGTTTTTAGCCAAAGGCCTGCACTGCTGACTTGATGCGCCAGTAGCTTATCGGACGCCTTACAGTAAATGCATAGACTGCTGATAAGACTTTCAAGTTTAGGCACCATTGTGGACCAAGTACACAGAGACTTCGGGCAGTGTGAAAAGAATGTAAATCCAAGTAGCCGTAATGTCGATCGGTGATATCACGCAGCTTAACAATAGTAAACATGGCGTTCACGGAATTGACGGAATAGTAAATAAGAGATTAATGCAGTAAGTATCGCGTTCATTTCTGGCGTAGAATACTAAAATTTGCTCGAATGTAACGGTAAGCCATAGTTTATATAGTGTAGACCCATCCGGCAACCGTTCCGAAGATTTACAGATATCGTTTTTTTATTGTTCACCGTACAATAGTACTGACTACTTCCCGGCTACGCCTGTTCCTGGAAAAACCACCGGTAAAATGCTTCAATATGTTATATAACTTCAGTGATTTTGAGTATCAGAATAGCATGTGCACTGAATAGAGCGAACATGACTCTTTGAACAAGAAATGTTCGCTTTCGGTGAACACACCACAACGAAGCCACACAGCTTAAAAGTCACGGGAAAATTAAGTAAATTTCTAATGAAGTGTAAGTAAATTGGGATAAAAGCTGACGAAAATTGCACAGCAGAGGCATTGACGGAGAAGACTAACCTGCTATCTGAGCAGGTATAGTGATCAGATTCACACACTTCCTTTCTACGATTTAGCCATTTCACATCACTAGCAGTTATACGAATAAATATGTATAAAACAAATGAGGACAGCGAGAATGATGTTTTGTATTTTTGTTATTGTTACTTCTGTAATACGCGATGATCTTTTATTAAAATCCGGTACATCAGAAAAAAAAATGAGGACATTCGAATGCTATGATAATGATGATTAAGGGACCATTTATTTAATTGTATCATAATGTTTTCTTCCACTGTATTAGGTAGGAATAAGCTCAATAAAACCACGTTGTGGTTGTAGCAGTCAATCGTAGATGCGGTGGCGTAGCCTATGATGCCTATCATACACTCGCATCAGAGCGGGGAGTATTCTCTCGCTTTTGCGACGACCTTGGCGTAAAAAATTCGCAACGTACTGAAATTAACGCGATATTTGTAACTTTTCCCGCGTGGTAAGCAATCACATCAACGAAAATGTTAGGATCTTAATCAAGGATTTGGTTCAGAACATAATTTAATATTTGCTCGGTTTTGCCTCCAAGTTGAGATTTCCGCTTTTTTCTTAATGTTTGCGACGTCGGTAACAGAGATCGCCTTACCAGTATATATATCTGTGGCCATTTAACGTTGTATGGTTTTAGAAGCATTAGAGATTTTTAGGGATAGTCTCCGCCAGTCACGCCTTTGTTGGGTCGGCTTAAATTTGAGATGTGGTAGAAGTATGGCCGGAAAGCACTGCAGAAAGTACAACTGCTCAACACCCTGAAAACTGCACTACGAACGTTGTAATCGTAGTTCCCGTTTCATGAATGCGATTTGTTCAACATTAATTTTCTTACAACGAGGTATGGACCTAGCGCTAGCATAACGCGCGCTAGTAGCTCATAAAAGGAAATTTCTTGCGCATATTTTATGAATGCCTTAACGAGGCGTTTTCAGTGCGAAAACATCGAGCTATATATATCGGGAGCCATATAAACTGAAACCATTGAGGGCAATGTCATGGACACTGCTTGTACATTACTCGTACGAGTGCTAAATTAGTAGGTCACTGATACGTCTTTGTATTTTCAGTTTTCATGTAGTTGTAATTAAGTGCGCGGTTATAACTTTGGGTCACACTATGTTTGGGGTGGCCCACCCCAAACACCCCCGTTTCTTATAGCCACCCCTTTTCCGCACCCAGTTAAGGCACCCTTTTTTAATTAATTAATTTCTTTTTTAGACACCATGGTCTATCCCTGGGATGTGATCACCCTCATCCCGTGGAAGCGCGGAAAACCGCTGGCAGTGGATGTTACCTGCGTGGACACGCTGGCGGCCTCGTATCTCGACCGCACTTCCGTGAACGCCGGCGCAGCAGCCAAACTCGCTGAAAGGAAGAAACTAGCGAAACACGCTTGGATGCAAACAAGATACGATTTCGTTGCTGCAGCATTCGAAATTTACGGACCTTATGGAGATGGTACTAAAACGCTACCCTAGTAGAAACGGTTGGAAACGGTATAGCGACTTCAACTGGCCAAAAGCGGGCGAAAGAGTTTTTTAAACAGCGAATATTGATGCAAATACAACGGGGAAAAGCGATTTGTGTAATGGGTACGATCCCCGATAAGGATAGCTAAGGAACGAAGATCCAAGGAAAATGGAATTCCACGGTGGAATTCCATTTTCCAAATCCGCGCTCCAGGCGACATGCTTGGATTTGGAAAACGGAATTTAGGAAATCCGCGGAATTCCACTTTTCGAATGGAAATCCAAATTACTGTATTTGGATTTCCAAACGAACGAAAACTTTCAAAATTATCGAAACTCACCCGGCAGTTTCTCACTTTTTTGCCATAAAACGCATGTCAGTTTCGGCAGTTTTAAATTTTTTTGCTGGCATGGAAACAAAACATTCACTGTTTATATTGCCACGACCCAAATGCCAGCGCTCTAGCATTCAGTGAGTTAAAGTGCGAATACTGTAGTACTACACTGTCGCCCACCCGGTACTGACTCTGAGGATTACATAGGGCACTAATAAAATAATTTGAAAAACGGATAACGCTACACGACTTTCGCTATTACTTACATGCGAGATTTCGAGCCGATAAATTGAATGAAACTTTTCTGTTATAATAGTGTTATTTAACTCACCGTTAACAAGTCCGCACAGTAAATTTGTATTTAAAATTTTTAGTACAGTAATTAGTCGTTAATATAGATTCACGTTTCAAGAAGCAGAGCCGGTTTAGTGGTCTGGCAAGGATGATGAACGAGGTAGTTAGAATCATGCTTGAAGTTGAAATTAAAACTATGAATCTACAGCGAACAATTAGATGGCATTAATCGAAATGGTGTTTAATCGGTAGCCGCGTTACATTGGGCAACTATCTCTAGGAAAACAAAGCTAAAAAACTATTTTCCAACGATAATCGTAAAATCCTTGGATTTACGGAAATCCAAATGGATTTCCGTAAATCCACGGAATCCATGGAAATCCATGGCAATTTCCTTTCCAAATCCTTTCCACGGGCCCGAACCCGTGGAAATTCGTTCCTTAAGGATAGCATAGAAGAAGTGTTTCTTTTATAAACGCCGTTTTGTTCTGGTGCATAGTTTGTACTCGTACCATGATACTTATTAAAGGTTGTAGGGCTCTGTTTTTTTTATAGGCACCTCTTTACTAAGTGAATTTTCGCACAGAGTACTTAATTATACAACGATACAAAGCTTGTACGACTCAGTACGAGTATTCTTAAACGTTAGATACTGTAATACCTGGGTGATGCGCGACAAGTTCTCCAACTGCACAACCTGCAGGTCGTCGCGACACCACTTCTTCCCGCGGTAATACGAGGACGGACGCGGATCGCCCGACTGCGCCGCACACAGAACCTGCAGAATCAGTGCGTCATAACAGTACAAATCGTGACCGAGCATTTGGGAAGATGCAACGATTTGGGCAATCTAGCCCACAGCGATTTCCATTCTGTCGTTTTTACTAAACTCGCCGCCCACTTTCAAGCGCTAGTGCAATGTGTACAGGTCCCGTTCACTCGCCGCTCCCATTGCATCCCTGTCCGCGCTCCCGAAACCGTCATTCAACTTCAATCGGGTGGTGCAAATGTTCATCTGCGTCTCCGTTACCAACTGGTGAGTCATGGAACTCTTGATCCTTCGGTCGGATATGAAGGCTGTAGACGATTGAAGCCAGGGGTTGGTCATGCAAAAAACGGTGTCGCTTGGCCGATCGCGGCAGCGCTCAACGAAATCTCCCACCCATGAGTAATTGTACTCCGTGTTCGAACGTGTCTGGCACAGGCCGCATTCGGGATAGTTAGTGCTGTTCACCGCGCACTAAACCAGACAGTCCAGCCGACAACGGTGCAAGTGAATGGTAGGCAGTCGGATCCCGGTCTGGGTATACAGTATTATGCATCGACCCCAGCGCGATCGCCTCTCACCATTTTTCCATAATAACATTAACATATCGCAACCGTACGAATTACTTCATCGAAAGTGTTAACTCATCTGTGCTGTTTCTTGTGCTGATGGTTGTTTTTGTTTTTGCTTTGTTCATTTTGCATGTCGTCATAATAATATTCATGTTTTCATGGTACCACCTCTCCTGTTAGCGTCATTTTATGCCGCATAACACAGACATCATGCATGAGAAGTAATAATTAATTTTTGCACCATCCGCTCGATGGTCGAGCAAAAGCCAGCTGAATTTAAGTTCAGTGTAGCATTTTACTCACCGCCAAAGTCTCTTTAGAACATTGCTCTTCTTCAGAACTCTTCTCGTAGACGTACTTCAGCTCGCCGTTCACGAGAACATAAAAGTGTTACCACCATATAAACGTGAGCGTTGGCATATAAAGGTTAGATATCTAACCGCTGGATGAGCGCTTGGGCTGCCTCCGTGGACAGCGAGCGGAATTCCTTGGCCAGATGTACACTGTGCTTGATGAAGGTGCCTCGGTCGATGCTATCGCGAGGAAAGGCTGGACAACGTCGTTATTGGCATCCCGAAATAGGGAACGCGTTCCATTGGGACGAAGTCGGTGCAGGATATTCCCCTGTCGGCGCTATGCCCACGGACGACGGACGATTTCGTGGACACGCGGCTTAGCGCGCTTCACAAAGTTTATTTCACCGGCGACCCAGATCCACCGACCCGATGGCGTCTCCCGCACCAGAACTTGCACCGGATTTTTGGTCAGTTGCTCGACTGGGAAGTTCAGGTCGTTGAACGCATGGGGCGTGGAAAAGAGATACTGCCGAATGGCGCATATTTACGTGGCGCACTGGGATATAGATAGACAAAGAGACCGTCTTCGGCCACGTCCACGACGCGCCCGCAGCGCATCTGCTGATCGATGCCCACAACGTAAAAGCCCTACATTCCTCTGCTGTGATTGATGAAGTTGGGCACAAAACGGAGAACACTGTTCTGCTTAGGATGGACTCAGCGGACTTGATTTACGGGCGCAAAACGTATTTGTCGTCCGATATGTATCTGAACCACTCTTACTTATTTTCATCAGAAAAAATCAGAAACTTTCGGAAGATGTTTATAGAAGTCCAACCCTTCCTGCGGTTTTTTTAACTTTTGGTAGTTTGTTCGACAACGCTGATTGATTGGCGGTCTATAGCCATTAGCCACTACCGTGGGCCCGTGGCAGTGGCAACAGCCCCAGTTGTAGGCTTTACGGTAGCCTTCTAAGCTCCAGTAGCGTCGTGATCTGAATTGGTCACGCCCCACACGTCACTAATTTGGGGAGGAGCAGCAGAAGTCCTCTCTTCCGAACTTGACGTGCATCTGAAAATTCAGCGATTTTCCAGATTTTCTGCTTGCGGAGAAGTTATTTATATTTTCGGATGTTTTAGAGACCAGAATAAATGAGTTTCAAGTGGTGGTGACTTGGTGTGAAGTGTTAAGTATTTTATTGGTTAAAGTCTGAAGAGCACTACGTGCCCCTTCGTGGTTTGCTTTTCGATCTGTCTAATTTGTTTGCTTTGTCCGTCTGGTAACAAACCCATCGTCAGCCATGTTGCGTGTAGGACATGAAGATATCAACGTTGTGGACCCCGATAACGCCCTGCTGAACGGCCGCGTTGTGGGCTTGGCGGACAACGGGCTGTACATCGATTTGCTGTCTGCCAACCGCCGCCGTGATTTCGTGCCCTTCGACCGCGTTATCCTAACGGATCCATTCAGAACACTGGATGCTCCCTATCACAAATGGCCGGAGGGTGCGTGCAAGACCGTTCCGGTGGAAGTTCTGCGCCACGACGATCGCAGCGGTGTGTGGCGCTGGTGGCCCGCGGAAATGCTGAACTCGCACCCTAAACCAGCATTGGGCGTCGTCCAGGGACGGGACGACAACGGCGCCACCTGGACGGACATTTTTCCGTTGCGCCGCGTGCGCTCGCCGGTGCTGAACGGCTGGGGACAAAGTTGCCAACTACCGGAGGCGGCGAACACGACGGCGCTGCCTCGGTGCCTTCAACCGGGCGATCTGGAGATGGATCGTGTGCCGCTACCGGCCGGGTGTCTTGCGGCGTCCACAGCTCAGCTGTGGCAGGCGGTGGAGGAGCTGCGTTGGACGAACGAGCGGGCCGTCGGCATGGACATCGCGGATGGAGAGCTGCAGTGTGTTGTGCACCGCGTCACGGTGGACTATGCTGAATATGAGCAGTACTTCCTAGGCTGCATTCCCTACCAGTACTATAAGGACCACCGCTATCGGGTTCGTCTGGCTACTCATTTCCTCATCTCACCTGAACATGCCACGCTGTTTTAGCTGGTGTGTCTAACTTATTGATTTAATTTGTACAGAAAGAGCATAAATCGTTGGAGACGGCCCTGAGTCCGCTGCTCCGTCGTCTCACGAGGATTCTGCGTCGACCGTCGCCGCATGTGGAACGGGAGACCCCGGATGCTTGGCGTGCCGTGACGGCGGACAGTTGGCAGCAGGTCTTCGCCTGTCTCGACACGCTGACACAGAATAAGCTGCGCGCGGTGTGCTCAGCGTGGAACGCCATCCTGGATGCCCCGGTTTTAACGGCCAACATCGTCATCCAGACGAGCACGGCCACTCGGGAACCGCTCATGCCTATCTGCTATTACCATTTGGTGGCCCCCCTCTTTAAATGCCTGCGAACCTCCACCCAGCGTCTCATCCTCTACAACCTCAACGGACGTGATTTCTCCACCGTGGTGGACATGCTGCACAACACGGCGCAGACCCATCCCGGAATCCATCTCCTGTCGCTGTATGTCGTCGGTGGCACGGACTTCCTCCCGGCACTGGGCCGTCTCGATTTCCTGCCCAACATGTTTTCCAATGGGGACCGCTGCACGGTACACGATTTGGACTACCAGGGACGTCCATATCGTGCAGCCATGCAGGACTTTATCAGCGTACTACAGAGTGTACCCTGTGCAACGCTGCATCTGGCGGGGTGCAAGGTGGGCTTGTGGTACAGCGTGTATCTCGCGGCTCCGAATGTCACGCACCAGAACTTCCCGCTGCCAGTGACCCGTCTGTTGCTGGGCGGGGACCGGGCGTCCGTCCTGTGGGAGGCGATGGAGAAAGCGCTGCCGGTGCCTAGCGAGGACGAGCTGCGGGCCTTGGCCGAATGGTTGGCGGGGATCCCTGAAGGGAAGATGAGGAAGTTTTATCATGGGGCTGTGTGCAGAGTAAGTGCTGCATCTGAAAATCATGGCGGTTTTCCTTCACACACGATTGCCACACCGACGTTTCTAAAGGTTTGGTCAGTTCGCGTAAACGGTTTCTCCAACCGATCTCCACACATTACGTCTTATACGAAGTATACAATTTGAATTCGTTCACGATCATTCAGTCTTCAACAATCGGTCGGCATTCTGCTTGTTGGACAGGCATTGTGCGCTACCCAGTCGATGGATCCGCGTCCCTCCGCGCACTACCACGGAAAGCGCTGGTGCCTGGACGGGCTGCAGGAGCTGCGCTTGGACCAGCTGTCGCGTACCGCCCTGCGCTTCCTCCTCATTCTGCCGGAATTTTTGCGTCGAATTAGCGACAAACTCTCACTGGAGTACCGGAAGCAACTGTGAGCTGACGGCTTTGTGCCTCGTCCCACTGCATTTCCGTCTTCCCTGGTGGAGCGTTGGGAGTATACAATATGCGAAATTATTGTTTTTTCGTTGGGAAGTAGTTTCAAGATGGTTTATTTGGTGGTTCTCCTCTAATGATTGCGTTGCTGTAGGTTATTTCTGTGTAGCGTAGTTTGCGTAACGGGTGACTCCTGTCATTTGGGTTTCATGGACTGATTATTTGCTTCTTTTGCCAGTATTACTTTGGTTGTACATTAATTAAAGATTCGAGAACTGAACAGACGTCGGGTGCTATGTGCGTTCTGTTGATATTAAATTTTCCGTTTTATAAACACTGCAGCTGACTAATCGTTACTAGTAAGTATCGCTGCTGTAAAGAACAACAGAACTTGAAGAGGTCGATTTGCGCCATACAAGTAAAGTAAACGAGCCAAACATGTTGTTTAGAGCGCGTACTTTTACCGGAAAGATATTTTTTCAATGGATGTTTTACTGGAGAAACGATATACCTTTGCACCGACGAACAAAATTTCTAGCTTCACGGAAAGCGGTACAAGTCGCCGCAAAGGAGAACAAGAAATCATTGACTTCCAATTGGTACGTTACAGCACCGTATTCCACACATTTTCATTTCGGGATGCGTTTCCATCAAACCGAACGTAGAAGAAAATGCAGAGCAGAAGTTTTATCAAATGTTCTTCCAAAGCCGAATAAAAATCCAGAAAAGTAGCGAAACCTTAGGAGCACAACATATAGAGATGAAGGACATAAATGATAACGAGACTACAGCATCAGCGAGATAAAGCAGATTATATGAGCCACTAAATTCCTTAACGAAACACTAGTTGCTGACCAAATCATGATGCTCACGCAGATTAGTGTCCTAACGCCAAAACAGACACGGAGCAGTGCCGTGCAGACCCTTCCGAAGGAATCCAATGCAATTCCACCATCAGCTCACGCAGTTGATCGAGCAACTGCCGACCGATGCGCGACAACTTCTCCAGCTGAACATCTTCTAAGCCGTCCACGCACCACTTCTTCTCGCGGTAGTGCGACGAAGGACGCGGATCGGCTGACTGCAGCGCGCACAGCGCCTGCAAAAAGAGTTTTTACAGTCTGAGCAGAACGAAGGATAAACTCTCAATAGTACCGTGCGGAGAGTGCCTCCAGCTTTTCTTCGTGACGCAAATCCCCGTCCACTTTGAAGCGCTGGAAGAGTGTGTGGACGTCCTGATCGCTCGGTACCGACAGCGCCGCCTCCATCGCTTCCCATAATGCACAGCCGAAATTACCATCCAGGGGCAGTCGCGTGCTGTGGATGCGGATTTCCGCTTTCTTTCGATTAATATTCCAGTTCAACGGATCTGTGTCAAAGTCACAGGCCAACGCCGCCACCGAGTTCGGTCCGATGTGGAGTGTATCGCAGGGTAGACGGCGACACACGGAGACGAAATTCTTCATCGAATGAAAGCCCCATTCCGGATCTTCGTACACAGGAGAAGACTTGTGTTGACCGCAAACAACATTATTGCCAGTAACAGCGCGACAGATGAGTAGATTCAATCGGACGCTGTGCAGATGAATGGAACGCAGTCGGACGCCGGGGAGAAGGGTCGCAACCAGAAAGACCTTGTTGAACACCCTCACGACGAAGTAAGTGTCGCACATCCCGTTCTCGAAAGATGTTAGGATCAGGCGTTGTGTAGTGGAACGTAGGCAATGGTTGACCGTCTGCAAGCCTAAGTACCCTTCGGCAAATCCGTAATTTCGCCTTCGAATGACGATAGTGGAGCGCAGCGTAGGCCCTTCCAGGATTCGGTTCCACATGGCGCACACATTTCGCAGCTGCGTCTGCTTTACAGTGTCCAGCTGGGAAAACACCCCCTGCAACAACTCCGCTGGCAGCCCCATCACCATGTCGTCAGCCGTTGCCGGATCGCGGTCAAGCAGGTACTTGATTTTGCGGAGCACTTGATCACGGAGGTACTCAAGAAAACCCTGCAGCAGAAACATCCACAAAGACCTGAACATTGGCGAGTACAGGAACGAGTTGATCCTTACCGGCAATTCAGCCGTTTGTGTTTCGACCAGCTTGCAAACGCCTTCCAACTTTCCCTCCACGAGACTGACCACAGAGAAGTGCCTGCAGTAAGGATGCAGCAAGGAGCCGTTCAGTCGCTTGATGAGCGCCTGGGTGTCTTTTGCGTACAGACAGCAAAATTCTTGGCCAAGATTCACACTGAGCATGATAAGGGTCTCTGGGGCAACGGAATTGCGGAGGGCGGCGTTTTCATTGCGATGCGCAACTAGACGAGTGCGACGAGTGGGAACGAGGGCGGTACGACGCGCGATTCCGTTGGTGCGGTCTATTCCGTTGCGTGCGTTTTGCCCGTTTGGGCACGCGAAATGTGAAGCAGAATTCCGTCGTCAATCAATTGCCTAACGTAATCCAACGCGCACTGGAGAGTCTCCGTTAAAACCAAAGCACACGCGTCAGAAGCCCAATAAGTACGAGCGACAATATACAAAAAGATAAATTAATTAGGCTGTTGGTTTTCTGTACAAACTGTCCAAAGAAAAATCTAGGAAATTCCATCTGCTGTGATCGTAATTCGTCGTTCTGCAGAAAGTGCTCAAAATGTGCCCGTACAACTGGTTCACTACAATAACCTGATTTCCCTGGCGGGGCTGTTTGTATGGTTGCAGCGGAGTTGGTTTTTTAGCGGATGCACTTTGTACGGTGTGCAACTGACCAATCAT